TGATTATGTGTATAGTATATTTTCCCATCCACAGAGTTTGGGCAGACAACAACTGGCAGTGAAGCGTGTCGTTTTGATAAGCCACAGAGCACAAGCTATCTAGCAGATACAGATGAATAGCGAGCTCAAGAAAGCAAAGCCATAAATACAGATATAGAGCTATGTTTTGGCTGACGATCGGCGCTGATCTTGTAATTGTTGCTCATCGGTTGCCGCGAAAACGATGTCGACATTCGGACGTTAATTGTATTGCAAGCACGGGTTATTTTTTTCTTTTCCATTTTTATATTGTGGTGCCAGAGCGAAAGCTTCGAGATCGGAGTGATCATTCACTTTCAGCGAACGGCGAAAAGAATCCAATTGCTGCCAAGAGAGATTGTGTTCAAGGGATCGGTTTATGGAGTGGTGCTGAGGTGTGGGGGAATCAGGTGTTGGGGACGGCTATATTCATTGACCTAGGTTGTGGATGTATTTGTTTGAGTTTCGCTTGGGTCTTTGATTTTTTGAGTGCTCTTTTTTCAACACTGATGAGACTTTGAAATGCTAAAAGGCTCAACTAGTTAATGCAGTTCACTTGATCGTGATTAGTCATTTATTACATTATTTGTTAGGAATTATGAACTAAAAATGCCCTGCATTTGCCACCCAGAGCATTTTGCATTCAAATAAAGATGAACTTTAAGCAAATATGTACATACGAGTACACTATCGACTATCAGTGTTGAAGCAGCCTGAAATATAGTGACTTATCTCTATTCTTTGAAGCATATAAGTAAAGTAACTTAGAATGACCTACTAATTTTACTTTATTCATACTAGTTTGCCAGCTTAGTCGACAACCAATTACTGTGTTGGGTCTCACCTTGGTTGCATCATACCATCGGCCCGTTATCAGGAATTTGCCTTGACCAGTAAAGAAAAACAGCAGAGAAGTGGTGAGAGAGATATACCGAGTGAGAGATGGAGAGAAAGAGAGAGAGAGAGAGAGAGAGAGAGAGACAGATAGAGACAGAAAGAGAGGGGGCGAGAGAGAGACTGCAATTTCATGGCCAAGTTTGTGTACCTTGTGATTGCTCGCTGCTATCAGCAGAAGATATTTGCGGATGCGTCTTTGCGATCTTTGGCGCCCGCACTTTGACGCAAGGACGTTCTTATCGATTCCATGGGCTTCTCTCTGCCTCGCTCCGTCTCGTTCTGTCTCGCTCGAACAGTATCTTCAAGCTGCTGGGCAGGTAGGTAGGGAGGGGAGAGCCGGATGCGGTGTTCTACCTGTCCTCAGGATCAAAACAAACAAGTGTGGAAAAGATTTACCGCCAAATGGCCAGGGCACAGATATACAGATACTAGTTGAGGCGCAGTTACAGATACTGATACAGCTGCATTAACAGATTCAGATACTTTTCCATTGTGGGTTCTCGGCTCTTTGGTTCTTTATATTGCGTAAGTTTATCTCCAGCGTGCTCTTCGTATCTCTCACACAAGAATATCGTTTTATCTACGTATCTCTGTGCCTTTGCATCTGCTGTGTGTGCTCGCTACTCTCGGCCAAGATTTTGTTTTGGTTTCGCTGTGATTTTTCTTGTATTTTCCACTCAGTCTGTATTCAGATCTTCAGCTATTCAAGTCGCTAAAATCTGGTTTTTGTGTGCGTTTTTTTTTAAGTGATATATTGTGAATGGCCGGATAATTTGACCAAACCGAACTAATTGGCAATTTTTATAAAAGATTTAGGAAAACAACCAGAAGAAAAAGCCGTTTCCTTCAAGTGTTGTGCAAAAAATCGTGAGTAAGAAAGTGAAAGAAGTGCGAAAATCATTCATCATCATCTTAAGTTTTTTTAGTTTCACGCGTAAGTACCTAGCCAAATCAATAAGGGCAAAGAGCAATAACTGCCAATCGTCTACAAAACTATTTGCGTCATCCAAAGCGGGAACCCAAACTATATCCATACCCCAATACATAGTACACATATAGCCCCACCTCCCGAGTCCCGAAAATCGGCGGTAAAGCGATTCATATATCAGACTTAGGCGAGGGCAACAAATTAGACTCACTCACGATTCTTGGTAGCCACTAATCGCTACTTATGCTAATGCCCTTCCAGACTTTCCGGAGGGGGTCACGTATTTGTGGGGGCCAAAGATTATGTCGTTGGGAAATGTTAAGACACTGCGGGGAAATGCATAATTTGGACATATTTACGGGGATTCCGCGGACCGCCTTCGACATGTCAAAATGGCTTTTGAGAAAATTTAGAAGATTAATATTTCCAAAGGAATCTTATGAACAAGAATACTTGGCTTTCGGAAGAATCTTACATATTTCGATACATATATTTGTAGCTTTCTTGCAACTTGCAGAACGGACAATGAAGTAATCGATTTTTAAATATATTTTTTGCCCTATCATCACTGAACGAGTTGATATCTCAGTTTAATCGCTAGACATTTTCTTTCTACTATTTTGATTCAATTTTTTATTTGCTCAAAATGAATCTATTTTGACCAACTCCAGGTAAAAGCCAAGATAAGGGTAAATCCATCCACAATGGAAATTTCGGTTAGCACATTATTCACTTTTGGGCCATATAATACTTGATCAGGTTCACGATCTATGTCCGTTCGTCTTCGCGTGAAAGTTGACATCTCGGGAACTATGAGAGTTTGAAAGCAGATATTAACCATGAAGGTTTTAGCGGTTATACGTTAGCAAACTGTGGTTCCCAACAACGCTAGAATCTGGTTAGTTCTAAACCTCCGTGGTCTTGCACTCAGTAACAGGTATATAACAGTTCTGCCTCATTTTTAAAAAGTTTAAAATTAGACTTGGTTTTCCAATTTCCATCACCGGCAACGTTCAATCCCGATTTTGTTCTGCTGCTTGTTTGTAAACGCTTATTTTGCTGTGTTACTTACTTCCCTTTGGGACTTTCAATTTATTGGGATCAAGTTTCGTGCCTCTCTTGCCGTTCTGGGGGTTTGAGGTCTTCGGGTCTTATGGGACTTAGGCCACCGAAATATACATACAATCGATTCGAGCGCGAATGCGTTTTTATGAATTCGGCACGCGTCTGCGTGCGCATTTCAGTCAGCTGCGTGTTTGTGGCCTGTGCCAGACCGTAGAACCCCCGACTTTCCTGTATCTGCAAGACTGTAGCCGCCGCACCCACACCCCAAACCGAGGCAAAGACAAAAAAACCAAAACCAAAAAAAAAATTAAGAAAAACACAATCGCACGACGGTGTCGTAAACAATTTTCAGTAGGACGACTTCATGTTGATCGTTAGTTGTCGATCTGGGCGCGTGTGCCCCCAATTGTATTAGCTATTGAGAACTGAGTTGTTATAGATGTGTGTTATCACTGAGTTTTGCTTTCGGCCGATGGTTTCGCAACTGCGAACTGATCCTGCCCCTTTGCGGCCACCTGCTGCGCAGTGGAAAACTAATTGCGTTTCTCACGCCCGATTTTCACACGCATCTCGGTTTGTTTGGAAATCAATTTACGACCTTAATAGTTTATGATGGGAAGGAAAAGCCCCTGAACATGCTGGGGAAATTGGCGTGTGAAGTGCTTGGGCACGTATTGCCTGTCGATTATGGGACGGAATCGCGCTTTTCATTTGCCAGCTTGCGGGGAGGGCGACAGAAGTTGGCAAACGAGATTCGCAATTGCACAAACGGCATCGATTGTCCGCGGTGCGGATAATGGAACTATGGAATTCGCAGCAATTACCCCAGAAGATGATGTCAGCATGCAGATTTCATTCCAGCGATAGGGCCAAGTGATCTCATGCGAGTGCCTGCAGCTTCTGAGTTGCCTTACAGCATTCGGCTCGAATTCAATTTCAGGTTAGGGCTAACGGTGCTCAAGTGCCTAACCAAGAGACAAAGGAGAAAATAAACAACAGAATCGGAAAAACTAATAGCCTCGGTAGCGAGAAAACCCGTCCGTTGCTTTGGACCACCTTTTGGCAGCCCAGCCAAGAGAGAGTGTCTGTGCACTTGGACACTTTTGAAGTGCAAGCCAACTTTGGAACTTCAAAGCAGTGTGTTTATTGAGTTCGATAATAGTAATAGTCATGATTAGTAGCCTGAACGTGTTTGATTGCATGTTGGACTTAGATCGGGTCACAAAGCGGCGCAACTTGTTGCATGGAATGGAAAAGGTGCCACCTATTTTTCCAAGTGTAGCTGTTGCCTTCGAGCCGGCAGTTAAGCGGCAATAAAAACTAAATGACACCACCGCGAACCACTTTGTGTCGCTGTTGCCTTCTGTTGCTGCTTTGTTGTTGCTACTGCGACCACTTGTTGCGCATCAGCAACATCGACGACAGCAAAGCAACAGCAGCAGCAGCACTTGTGCTTCACTTCTACTCGATTCGTTACGTTGCAGTTTGCATGTTCAGTCTTTAACCAGCCACCGAAAATGCGGCGTGGAAAATCGAGCACAATAATTGTCCGACACTGTAAAAAGTGTCCACGTGCGTGGGCAATGCAAAAGACACAGGGAGTCGGATGGCCGATACTCTACTCCTACATTCGAAATCGTATAATTCTTGGCCGACATTGACACAGTCGGCTGCATTTTAAGACATTCCAGTGGACGCATTTGCAGACACGTTTGTAGGCACTTGCGGCTAATTGAACCACTTTCCAGCAACTGCCTATTGAATCGCTGCAAGGAGTTATCGAAGTGATCAGAAATGATGCAAGTGACCTGCCACTTAGCGGTGGTTTGAAGCCTGTACTTTTGAAATATTCATTGCGCTTAGGGGTAAAATATTCGGAATAATAATATTTTTAAGCTGTACCCAAATGGACAATTGCACATATTTACCTATCTCTATGTATTTAGAGTAAGCTTAATTGGTAGTGCATTAAAGAAGCACAGCTAAAAACTTAAACACACCAACTATTTACATTCTGGCCTTTCTAAGTTGTTCGTCGTGAGTGTTGTGTTGCCTGAATGTTGTGTTCGAGACATGCTGTTTGCGCACTCACCTTTTTATTAGGACAGGAAGCCAACAAAGTGTTCTGTAAAGAAGAAAATATAATTTAATACCGGAGATATAGAATATTTGCTGGAAGGAGTGTGGAAAATCATTAAACAAAGTTTATCAGACACTGGCTTTTAAAGGAACTTTTGCAATCTTAGCCCCTTTTGGAAATTAAGATCTGACCTAAAGCCGATTTCATATCTCGGTGATAGTATATGTGTGTCAAGAGTCAAGGCGAATCTGGGCGGGAAGGGAATGGAGGGCGGAGCAGGAAAAACGTGTTCGTTGGCTGGCAAATGAAAAAGGGGACAGGACGCGCTTTCCGAAAAAGTCAAAATCCGTGGGCTCCTGGGCACGCACTCGTTCTGCTACGCAGCTGCGGGAAATCTAGGATGACTGTGCGTGTTTGCCAGGATACGGAACCAGGATGCGGAATGCGGAATGCGGGATTGAATCATTGAATCGAATTGAATACGTGTCGGCACGAAGCAGCAGGGCCCAACACCGAATTTTACGTGTTGCTGTTTTGTATTAGCAAGATGTCAATGTATGTTTGCGGAATTATGTACAAACAGCAGACACATCCATATCCACATGTCGATATGTCCTTTTTTATCTCTATCTCCATGTCCGCGTTAAAGGCATCAAATGTTGTCCGAATCAACGAGCAACGAACAACGAAAAAAGAGCCAAATAACGGGAACGGGAAGAGAGCGTCCCAAAATTGACATCAGTTGCTGATTTTTAATTAAAAATTTGCGACGTGTGAAGTTGATTTCAATTTGGGCCCCGCCAAACTGACAGATGAACTGATATAGGAAGCTCAACTGGGCGCTGATGCGAAGCCCCCTGGATGTTCCGATGTTTAGGACATGGAAGATGGAATGTCCGACCCTTCACGTCCGTTTGCTGACCGCAGAGGAAGGGGCCTGCGGGGGGCTTTCTAGTGGGTTTCTGTGAGGAGCTTCGAGAGGATTTCCGGCGGTTCCAGTAGGGAGTTTTTGTGGACACACAACGGGCAAATCGGGGGTTCTGGGCGTTCTGGGGGTTTTTACGGGACTCTCGTGGACGAAATAACAGTTGATGCCTGCTGACAGCCTTGAACAGCAGTCATCACATGTCCACCGAATGGTGGCAGCCAGTGCCAGCGGTGGATTCCATAGGATCCATCGCTTTTCCGGGCCTTCATAAATATAGATTAGCAAATCGAAACAGCAAATAGAGCGACACATTACATTATTGGGCGGATAGCGAGAGATGGGATAAGCCAGGCAATATGAACTCTCAAGGTAACCAGCATGACTATTCATGGCACCAGTCCAGATGTAATGACACCTATTCTGATTCGACCGTATCCCAGTCGTCAAATATTGCATTCAACATATAGCGTTAAATGCATTAATACAATTTAAATGCAATTTAAAATAGTGTAGGCTTTTCATGTCTTGCTTTCGGCACCACTAGAATTTGGTCGCTATACTGGGAGGTTTGCTTCTTATGCATTCTTGATATGCATTCACGTGCAGGTGCCTCCTCCACAATCTTCGACTGCTGCGGGTGTCAAAGTCATTGGCTTATATAACACCGTTACACTAGTGACATTAGGCTTATCGGGCAGGCCCGACTGCCCAAACAACCACTATCTACTAGGTACTTGACATTCAGCAGCGGGTTCCGAGGGAAAGATGAGAGTTCCGCTGATGACGGCTGCCGGCTGACGGCTGACGGCTTTTACGACCGATACGCGACCCAGAGACACCGACACACACGCACTTTCCCACTTTCCCACTCCACAGGGCTATTAACAAGTAGTAATGACAAGAGCAGCAGCAGCAGCAGCAGCAGCCATAAACCCAGTGCAACAGTTAGAAAAGTCGCGCGATTGGAGAGCCACACACTTGAACTCATAAATTCAAAGAACCCCGATAACCCACATGTATATATACCCTATAAATATATGTACATGCGTGCGCCCTGTCGCTGTCCTGCTCTGGCCGCCGCCGTCTCGCTCCCGCCGTCGTGTTGAGGGAAAGCCCTGGTGCGAGCTGATGAATGCCGCCCGGGACTTCGACGTGTGCGCTGGAGGCAAGTGCAGCAGCCAAAGTTGCAGTTGCAAGAGCATCTGCATAGCGGGAGAACAGCAACAAACATGGGCAGGAGCAACCAAGTGACCAGCACGTGCAGCAGTACCCGCATCACCCTACAGCTGCGGCGACAGCAGCAACAAGTTGTTGCAGTTGCGCATACTGCTGTTGCTGTTGCTGTTGCTGCTGCTGCTGCTGATGACGATGACGAACAACATGGTAGCATGGTGACATGGTAACATGGTGACTGATGTGCAACACGCCGTGTGACTGTCCTTGGTGAGCAGTGGAACCGCTGACATGACCAATTCGGAAACAGCGAGAAGCGGGCAAAACTTCTCCCACGCGGTTCGCTGAGATACATACATGCCACATTTGCATTTCCATTTCCCCGATGAATATTGTAAATTCCTAGGGCCTTAAATCGGTTGGAGAAAAGGCGGATCCAGCGGTTTACTGTGTATCTATAAGCTATTGGCACAAGCAAGGGAAAATAGAAAAATAGAAATAGCACAAAAAGTGCGTTCTACCCACTTGTTCCACTGTTTATCAGGGAGGTCCACCCCTTCAACCAATTTCCTTTCACCTATTTCATGTATGCCTACCTTCTTTGTGTTTTCCAGCGCTTGCCAGGAGTAAGCGATCGATCGATCGGTGCCGAGAAGATGGCTGCGCCAAACTGTCTGCTGGCGGTCCTGGCGCTCACGGTTTTCCTGGGGGCCAACAACGCACTGCCCATCACCTCGCGCCCCATCGAGGGCAATGTGCAGCGGATGGTGTGGGAGGACTGGGTGAACCTGGACCCGGAGCAGAGAAACCTCACCAAGGAGAAGAAGATAACCGCCAAGTCGATATTCACTCTGCCGTTTCGCCACTGTCCGCAGGGTCACACGCTGTTCAACCAGCTGTGCATCCCGCAGTCGAACATTGATCCCACGGATCTGGTCAAGCAGGAACTCATCCTGGCCGGTGGCTCCAACGGCAATCCCCCACCGCCCCCTATTGGAGATTACGACTACGGGGATGACGAGGAGAGCGATGAAATCGTGTACGATCTGTCGGTCATACCAACGGCCATGCAGGATGGCTTACCGCCCAGCGTTGGCGACGGCGACCAAGCCCTGCCCAGCGAGGACGCACCACTGAAGTTCAACATTTTTGAGAAGAAGTTCCCCACGGGCACGGGTGAGTCCGAGGAGCTGCCCCTGCCGCCGGACACGGTGGCTGCAACATATGCCCAAAACATCAGTACCACAGCAGAAACACTAACTAGCACAGCGCCCACGTCAACGACGCCTGTTGCCATACCGGCTGTGCCTTCGGGAGAGGCCAGTAACCGCATTTCCGGCGGCGACTTGCTGGCGGCCCCCAGTGATGCCTTCGCCACATCGACAACACTTACCATGGCCAGCAGCAACTCCACCAGCAGCCAAGTGGAGGCCATTCTGCTGCCGGCGGATCAGGCGCTCGATGGCTCTCCGCACCTGGTGACCAGTTCCCTCATCGACAATGACAGCGATGACTCTACCACTCTGCCAGTGAATGGATTCAACGCGGAGGCGGATCTGGCCCAGCTGCTCAAGGTCGACGCCTTTTTGCCGGCCTACGATGGCAGCATTGAGTTGTTGCCGCCGCTTTTCAGTCATCGCAAGGCAGCGCCGCCATTGAGCGCGGACCAGGATGTAAACACCAAACAGGCGGTTGCGGCTGCGGCTGCGGAGCAGGTGGGAACGGAGCTGGAAGAGGGGGAGGTGACCGCTACGGAAATTGTGCCTAGCGAGGAGGAGGAGTATACCACAGAGGCGGCGACAACGGTTGCGGAGGCGTCAATGGATACTTCGCCTGCCAGCTCCGCCTCCACCTCCACCTCCACCGTTGTCCCATCACTGGCACATCCGCCAAAAGAACCCGAGATAGATGAACGTGAAAACCGCCTGGTCTTGATAAAATCGAAAGTGCAACCGGTTCAGTTAACGACAACAACATCGGCCACAGCAACAGCAACAACTGCAGCTGATGTTGCTGATTCGAGCTCCTCCACTGACCGGTTTCACTATCAGCATTTTGTCGAAGATGCCGCCGCCAGCAGCACCACGACGGCGACACCAGAACCAAGCAGCACCAGCAGCACAGCCGGCGAGCCGATGGAGCAGCCCGATATGCCGGCGAGTGACAATGACAATTTAATGACAAATACAATTGGCGGCCGCGGCGACGAGGATGATGATGGGGGCCATAAGGCCAGCAGTGAAATGGATGTCCAACAGGAACTGCGGCTCATTAACGAGCTGGTAAAGGGCAAGCAGCGAAAGCAGCATCAGAAGCAGCAGCTCGAGCCAACCAGCACAGAAGCAACTTCGGCGGCAACATCAACGTCCAGTGAGGACTCCACCGCCACCACAGCACTGGCATACACAAATTGGTCAAAGGTGATGCCCCAATTGGGCCAGAGCACGTCTGAGTCAGCCGCCACCGCGGGGACAGCTGCAACTTCGAGCCAGGTTAATGAAAGCAGTTCGACAGCATCGTCAGCATCGTCAGCAGCAACAGCAGCAACAGAAGTAAAACATTTAAGTATTACTAATCGTAGCAATAGAAATAGTAAAATAATTAGAGTAGATCAGTTTGCCGATCAGCCGGAGGGAACTGCCGCAGCTGCGGAATCAGCAGCAGCCGCCGCCGCCGCCGCCGCCACGCCCCCCAACAGCAGCAGCGACCAAGACGGCTATACGCCCTTCTGGTGGCTACCGAGTATTGGGTGGCGTCTGGACCGCCAGCTGGATGGGAGAGGCGAGGATCAGTCGCTCTTGCTGCGGTTCTTCAGCACTTTTGGGGGCAGCAACGCAGCAGCAACCACACGCTAATAGCAACAGCGCAGCAGCAGCAGCAGCAGCAGCAGCAGCAACTCCTGGCTCTGGCCAGCGATTAGAGCCACAGGAAGTAGCTGGGTGCCGTGTAGTCTAGTGCAGCATAGTGTCGTGTTAGCAACAGCGTTTCAATGGCCTGTTGAAGTTTGTTCACAGTTGTCTCACCTTTACACTCTTTCCCTTTCTGAGTAAATATTTATTATGTTTTAATGTTTTAATCGAGTGTCAATTGTACATAGCATGTCCGAAACACTTACTTGCTACTTAGCAACCACTTTTTCTTTTTTTTTGCCTTGGCGTTATGTCATACTTTATTTTTGTGTTATTGCAACTGCTTTCTTTTTAAGTTGTTGATTTAATTTTAGGGAAACTTTTTTTTACATTACAATAGTTTTATATGTGAGTGCTGCTGTCGTTGTTGCGAGCCTTAGCAATATTTAATTGTGATTACTTAGGCATATGAATGGATCGCTAGGCTTAAGAAATCGTATTGTATACCCAGAATCTATCGATGTATCTTTTTTTTTACTACTATTATTACCTTTGTAACTCAATATATTTATATATGTGCGCACAATCTGAGCATTTGTTGTGGCTGCCTCAGTGTACATACATAAGTGCAGAAAACGTTCAAATCCAAGCATTTTTAAACGCATCTACCGAATCAACACGTGTATCTATACCTAGCATGTAAGCGCAACAGTTACGCTAACCATTGTAAACACAAATCGAAACTAAAGCCTAAAAAATAGTGTAATGCATGTATATATTTATAGAAAATGCGTTTCGATCCATTAGCTTAAACGAATGGAATCGAATCGAACAGAAACGAAACGAAACGAATCAGGCACCCAACTTGTTTTTGTCAATTGAAATTCAACCAACAACCAAAGTTCAGAAGAAAAACAAATGCAAAAATGGAAAAACCGTCTATTTCAATTGGCAAAATGGCAATGGCACGGCTGGGGCCTTCCTCACAATTTGATAGCTGGCCAAAAGTCTGCGGTAAGTATCCCACTATGAATTCGGTGCGAATGTGCTTGATTAGCCCCAACTTCGAAGAGAAGAAGGTGCCACCGCCACCCGGCTCGAACTTTACAAAGATTCCTTAACTGCTCACCTCAACAGTCTGGCCAAAATTCTGACGCTCGACTCTTCCTCTGCGAATTGGTCAAAATGCCAAAGGACAGACACAAAATGAACTGAATATTCAAGAGCAGGTCATCAGGTGGACAGATGGAAGCGTATTGGTCGGGCTTTGAGTGGCAACTGGCCCAAAGAGTTGTCAAAGAGAATTTTGTTGTCCAGTCTTGGCGACACACTGAGCGAAACAGGATCGGGATAGGATCACTTGAAGTTGGAGGTGTAATGAAAAATTACATCTCTTTAGGTGCAAACAACAAAATTCAGCGGTTTTCCAATGCGATTTCGTGTATTGGTTTGTTTTATATACGAGTAATCACTTGAAGTTGTTGGAGGTGTAATGCTCATGGTGTTCATGGAAATCAGGGATAGAATCACTTGAAGTTGGAGGTGTAATGAAAAATTACATCTCTTTAGGTGCAAACAACAAAATTCAGCGGTTTTCCAATGCGATTTCGTATGTTGGTTTCTTTTACATACGAGTAATCACTTGAAGTTGAAAAAATTAATGAACAAATTACATCACTTTAGGTTTAAGCAACAAAATTCAGCGGTTTTCCAATGCGATTTCGTATATTGGTTTGTTTTATATACGAGTATTATAATGCTGACATCAGCCAGTGAGAGCAGCAAGTAGATGCACCAATCAACCAAATATTATTCACTTGTTTAGTCGTTTTTCTCAGTGGAGCTAAGGGCAAATAAAGTGCGAAATGCCAGGTGCCAGCCACTGACGAATCCAGTCGGCAGGAGAATAGGGCGCTGGAAGGACTGGCAGTCGGAAACAAAATCAGGCAAATACACACACAGCTGGAGAAACGCCTAACATAATATGCCAAAATATCTGTCAAAAATATTCGTTGAAGGGGCGGGCGGCTGTCCTCCGTTGCCGAAGGAAATGCATTAGGAAAATATAGAATTTTCCCGCAGCAACGAAACGGCGCGACTGCCCCTGTCTCATTTCTTCGGTGGAACCTGGTCGGAAAATGTCCTCATTGAACATATGCAGAAGGCATGTTAACATGGCGAATAAAATCATGTGTGCCTGCATCTGTGTGTTTGCCTAACGAGCTGCATTAGTCGCTGATTGCAGCAGCTGAGCGGTGCCGACATATGTAGGCGGAGGGGGCGGGGCAGGACGAGGCAGTGGCAGTAGCAGTGGCGCCTGGGAAATACGCATCTCGTTTCCGGCACCTCAGCGCCTGGCTTCATTGCCGTCCCCGTCCCGACAACTTTAAATTTAAATCCCAAATGCACCAGCAGCCGCACCCGCACCCGCACCTCACCACACACGCGCCATCTGTGGGCGAGCGGCAAAACGCACTGCATCTCGTTTTTCCCCTGCATACTTTAAGGCTGAGAGTGTTAGTGCAGCGAGGATATTCATTGCGGCTGGCTGTTAACACCGTGTTACATGGGAGAAACTATAATCAAACTAATCAAACTTGGAAGAAACCATTTTTTGGCACTTTTGAGCGCCAACGACAGGCCAGCGGATTTTAGTTGTCAATTTTTCAAAAATGTAGGCGGGTGAAATTTGTCTTCAATGAATGCTAGCATTTATTTTAAGGCTATTTTTAGCAAAACTATTAAATGAACCTTTTGTTAAGCATGTAACAGCTTTTTGTGATCAGACTAGTAATATGTGCAATTTTTGTTGGTCTCTGACAATGAAATTAAGTCAGGGTCTCACTTTGTAATTGCTTTACAAGAACAGTTGAGATGTGGTTTCCATATATTTTACTACATTTTTCCTAGAAAGACCTGTTCCAAAGACAGTTCCATATTTATGTAGATAATAATTCGACAACATTCCGGCACAAGAGAAAATAGGCTATTTAAATTTTAAATAGAAACCCTCGATCTTTGTAATAATTGGATAAATGAAAAAGCATCACAATTGCCTGGACTATTAAAATCTAAATAACTGTAAAATGCTTTCCATTTCCATACACTTGGGAAAAAGGGATGGGGGATTTGGAAATGGACTGAAAAGCGTATGCGTGTGTGTCTTCAGTAATCGTGCGGATGCACAGTGGGCCAATAGGTAATAAAAAGAGCAAAAATAATAATGTTTTTTTACCTAATACCTACAATAATATTGTGTTATAATAATCAATGTATCTCTCTTACAGAAGTAGTTTAACTATTTGACACTTGTTTCAAAATGAAAGCTACTTGCATACTTCATTTGCATTAAACTAAATTAAGTACATAGAGTCCTTTATACATAAGGCCGTGCCAGAACTGGGACGGAAAAATTCTGGTCCAGTGTGCGTGGTAAAAGGAAACTTCTGTTTATTTAAATATTAAGCAGAAATGCACACACACAATCACACAATCACACAGGCACTAAAACGCTTGCAAGTTGTGTCTGCTTGCGAGTCTTCGTATCTGTGTGTGCATAAAATATAAATGAAACGGGCCTAATGCTTTGCAATACAACGTTTCAGAGTGTTGTGCAGTATTTTAGTTTTCAATGCCTGAGCTTTTATGCAAAGTAAACAAACCACTCACACACCCGGCATTTACACACACCTAAACACAAGTACAGTGCTGGAAATATTTTCTAATCCAGTCTAGCCATATTAATATTTAACTTACTTGATATCGTGATATTTTTTACAGCCCCCTCTAAGCTGAGTGTTTCTTTATCGCTAAATTTTAAACTATCTTCACTCTTTAGGGGCTACATCATATAATTTATTTCAATAGTACTATTTATTCGCCGACGCGTCCCAGAAGTTGAAGCTATGCGTTTTTACAAAGCCTCAGAACTTAAATCTTTGATAGTATTCAAACATTTGTCCCCAGTGTTTCCACTCCAACTGTTACAGCAGTAGCGCTCTCATCCATACATACATAATTTTTCAGTGTACATATTTGTGTTTGTATTTAGCAGTTGAGGCATTAGCCATTGTCTGTAGAACAAACCAGCCGACAAAAGCCCACAAACCAGCCACGCCTTCTTCACCAGACCCCTTTTGGGAAACCGCCCGCCCCTTGATAAGCCCTTGCAGCATCCCCTTTAAGCCACCAAAGCCCATGCCCATGGCCAGTGAACTGAAGCTTCACAATCTGCTCAATGAATCTCAATAAGTTTGTCATGGCTCTATGGCTAATGCATGAGTGTGTGATTGCCAGTGCGTGGGTGTGAGCACCGTGGGAGTGTGAGTGCGTATCTGTGTTTGCTTTGCATTCGTGTGCGTGTGCTAAATCAAGCGGTAATTGGTTCTTCGCCTGCCATTTCCACTGCCAACGGTTCGTCTGTGCCGTTGTTTATATAATTGAAACTAACACAAATAAAGTGCAAAAGCTTTCTGATTATGGGTATTTGCGCCTGCCGCACAATAAGGCAAATGCCGGTACCTTCCTACGCTTTCCACCGCCTCGCCGCTTCACCGCTTCACCGTTGCCCGAAGCCAGGAGTTCTGCCAGCGGGAAACGCTCGAGGATGCACACTTTGGGGACAGTGGGTCGGAAGTAGGTGCTTTCCCAATCAAAATGAGAAACCACTGAATTATAAAACTCATGTTAGACAACTGAAAGAAATGAACGCCTAGGTGAGTCTAACCATTATAAATGATACGCGATAAGGTAGTCGACTTACTGCTAAAACAACAAGCAACAATTTCATTTAAGTAATTCAAGTATCATGAAAATGGCGCCCGAACTGAGGAAGATACAAGGATATTTCAAATGATTGGACAATAATCTTCGAAATGGTCAATGGCCAGTTAATCAATGGAGAGATGGCATTAACATACACTGGACATAAGGCCATGGGAATACATTTTAAGATATGAAGATATGAATAAGTGTGTTGCAATGCAGCCCTAACATTGCTGAGGTTTCAGGATGCATCCTTTTTTGCCCACTGTGCGGCAACCATAAAAGCCAAGAGTGCGTGTGTGCTTGATTACTGGCGTAAGCTCGTGTGCGTTTGGTTACTTAAGCTGCTGTTAACTTAAGTATAACAATGATAAGGATAACGTCGGGCATTTATTTACCTACCCCTGCTTCCAACGCGTGTTTGCACCTTATTTATTTGCCACTTGCCTCCGTTTCCATGGGCCTGGGTTTGAGCCACTTGCTCGGCATTTCAGTTAAGTAATTGGTATGGCTAAGATTGGGCTCTAGTGCCAGATACCACTCTGTAATTTGCCGAAGACAGTCCGTATAAGTCCGCCTGTCTAAGCCTTAAGTCAGCTCATTCCCAAATACCCAAATGCTCACTGATCATCCAAACTACCAGCCTTCGCACTGCATCTCAATTAGTGGCAATATACGTGTATGTAAGTTTCATTTAGGCGGGAAGCTCTGTTCTTAATTTTATATGTAAGTGCTAGCAAGGCACCTGATTTATATTTCGTCACAATTATTTGACATCAATTAACCCATTGCGTCATTTCACGTTATAATGGGTTAAAGCCACGCACAAATTTGTAATCTTTGTGTGCAGCTGGACACTTCGCACGGCCTTTTATTCCCGGATCATTTGGACCATTTGCAGTCATTGCTTTCGCGGCTCGTGTTTTTGATAGAGGATAAAAGCTGTTTAAGAAGAGTACAGCGAAAAGCTGAAAAAGAGGAGAAAATGGGTGGACAACGTGGGGGTAACAAGCGCGTCGAGCCGCCTGTGTGCTGTGTAATTTTGGGGAAAACCAAAACCCAGCAATCTCATAATGCGTCGTCGCATTCATTGTCCGGCCGGAAAGCCACGCGCCCCTTGTCGCTGGCCACTTGTCATAAATAAGCAGTGCAGCTTGCAGGACCTTGTTTGCCACCCAATTTTCCCAGCGCTTCCCCGCTTCCCCGCTTCCCCAATTTTCTGTCCACAATCCTTGCTCGCACTTCGAATCCCAGGGCCCTCGCATTGAACGAGCAAATTCAATTTAACGAGAAGTTGCAACAATCAACGCTGCTCCTGTGTCCCGCGTCCTCCACGCCACCCACCGAGGATATGCCACCCGCTCTCCTCCCCGCATCCTTATGCCCCTGCACCACACCCCTCCACACATCCTGCGGACAGTCGGCGGGCGGGAAGAGCAAAAAATTGCCAAAAAACAACGCACAAAAACACAAATGTTCAGACAATGGCAAGGATTCCGAGCAACAGGAGCCGCAAAAACAACAAGCCGAACCAGAGCGAGACGGCCTGAAGAAGCTGGAAAGAGAGGGATATATGAGACAGCGAATGAGGCGGGTGGATGTGGCAGGAGCGGACTGCAAGAGGCACAAAAAAATTGGGGCCAGAAAAAGGCAGCGTATGCCAACAATGTAATTTTGACGCTTGATCTCGGCGGACACACATGCACCTATGCACAGAGAGAAATTAAGCGAACTATTTGCGAGTCCTGTGAGATAAAATGCAAGTTACTTCAATTTCGAACTCAATATACAAATAGGAAATCGTGAAAAAATATAATATATAAATATTATTTTATATTTCGAAAATGTTGTCTTTGCTCCGGATTCCTTATGATTTAGGGCAAGTTATTCCTAAAAAAAAATTAAATCTTACTCCTTTCTTCCTCTTTTAAGGGCTTCAGAGGATTTGCTGTAGTTGGAGATATGAAAAGGAGAAGAGTTCATTAAAATATTGGCTAGATCGATCGAATCAGATCAGGAGTGAGAGCGGAAATACCTAACTTGAGCATTTCCGTCCGTTTAGCTTTAAATTTGAGCTCAATTGAACTAATTCCTGTACTACAGGGGCTTTTGTTATAGTTTAGCCATTGCAGTGTAGGTTCATATAAAAAGCAACTGCAAATGGTAAATGGAAAACGCGTTGGTTTCACAGAACAGCGTAAAAACTATGCTAGATAATGGACACCGAGGAATTCACTGCCCGCAGCGCCCAAAAAAATGTGGAATTTCGTAAATGGGAGTGTATCGATGCGTTAAATACCCTTCAAATTGTAGCTCCTAGCTCATTGATTTAATGTCTCTCAGAAAAGGAACGTATTTGTCTACTCGGGTGTCATTTTCAAAGTTTCCATGCCTATGTAACTAAAGTATTTTGAATAAGCCTAGTAAGTTCGAATTATAAAGGCGGTTTTCCGAGGCGGCCAGCACACTTTCAAAAATATGCTGCTGTGGATTGCAGAGTATAGCAGCCGGAAAAAGGAAGCATGCCTGACCACTTATGTGTGGGTCAGTGCATCTGTGTGCGTGTTTGTTGTGAGGTTTTGCATCCTTTATTGGTTCGTTTTTCACGCGTTTTCCGTGCGACTTTCGCGTGGTGCATTACTACCGCCGAAACGCCAGCAGCTTCCACACTTTTCCCACCCACAAAGTCTCATAATATTTCATGGCTGTTGCAGATTGTTGACATTTTGGCTGCTCTGCACCTCCGGCCGCGTTCCGTTCGGTTTTTTCGAATTTTTTCTATACCGGAGTTGCTGTAGTTCTTTCGATTATGCGGCAAACAGGGGGAGTGTTCAGGGGAGCGGGCTTTTCACAAAGCAGCCACTGCAGCGGATGCAAACAAACGCAGCCAGAAGCGCCAGGAAAATGTTGGCATAGGGGTGGCATTTTAGGGGCTTAAATGGAGTGGGGTCCCGGGACTCCGCGCATCCGGGGGATCCGGGGGATCCGGGGGATAGCTGCCTCCGCAGTCGCGTGCACACAGGATAAAACACGCATCTGTCGCAGTGTCCGTCATCATCATCCTCATCAAGTCCATCATCACAAGAGCGTCCACATCAGGATGTTGCAACGGATATGTCCATTGTTTTGATGTGAGTTTTGGTTCAGACACAAAGGGGCGGAGGGGTTTTCCGCGGCTCTAGCCGAAGGACTCTGGGTTCAGAGGAGCCTCTGAACGCTTTAGTGGAAACCCATGTGGCCATCGAGTTTTATATTTGATATTGAAAAACGAGCTAATAAGCATGCATTCAAAGTTACTGAATATTTGAACAGCTGAACTGAGTCGTATACGTTGGAATCCACATTTCAGCGGCGAGATTGATCCCAGTAGCTCCTCAGTGAATCATCGAAACTGAGTACAGCCGTTTCGATCCGCTTCACACTCCCACACTACATTCCCACTGTGAGGCTGAGGACTTCAGATTCGGTGGCTGGGATCCAAGCAAGTGCCTGCAAATGTGCGCCGCCGTCTGCGTGGTGGTCACGGTGCCCACCGAGGCCGAGGAACTGAAACTGGACGCCAGTTTGACCAAGCCGTTGGCCAGCACCTCATATTGCGCCAGCTGCGGCGGCTGGGTGAGGAGCTGGTGCCCAGATGCGCCGAGTGGCGGTCTGTGCGAGCGGTGTGGCCGCTTGAGTCAGATAGCCGGGAGCAGTGTGCATCCAATGGAGTCGAGCACTACGCCAGCGCTTAGGAGCCAGAGCAGGGCCCTGCAGCTGCCCAATCTTGGGGAGGACGCGCCTTTGGAGCAGCTCTTGAGGGCCATTGCCCAGGAGCTGCGCTTGGAGGACGTCTTCTGGTCGCACGACATCAGCGGGAGGCAGCTCCAGGCACGCTTCGACCTGCTGCAGGATGAGCGCTACGAGAGATTGCTGTGCACGCTGCAGGAGTGGGGCGTTGGCGAGCGAGCCGGCACCCATGTGTCCGCCCTCACCTGCCTGGAAACGCGGGCTAGGCCCGGCCAGCAGCTGCCCAGACAGCACCTTGACGAAGTCGTGGATCAGCATCAGCATCCGCATCAGCAGCAGCAGCAGCAGCAGGAGCAGCAGCAGCATCACGAGCAGGGCCAGGGCTGGCAGAGCTTCATGGACTCGGTAAGATGTAGGCTGAATGTGAACCAGGTGGTGCGCCAGGTTCGACGGGATGCCACCCTGACCTTTGACTTCGTGGTGCTGCTCATGGCTGCCGCCCTGCTCTCGTGCGTGGGTCTCGTCGAGAATAGCTTCCTGTTCCTCTCCAGCTCCATGCTGATTTCCCCCCTGATGGGCCCCATCATAGCGGCCATATTCGGATCGGTGATCGGCGATCGGGACCTGCGTTGGCTGGGCCTGAAGAACGAACTGCTGGGCATAGCTGCGTCCGTGGCCATTGGATTCTTTTTTGGGGCCATGGTCTGTGGCTTCGGGCACTTCTTCGCCATATCCACGGGTCTCACGGAGGAGATCGTCTCCCGCTGCGACACCCACTCCCTGGCCATCGGAGTATGCACCGCCCTCGCCTCGGGGGCAGCGGGCGCCATAGCGGTTCTGGGTGGCAATACGGGCTCCCTGGTGGGCGTGGCCATCTCAGCCTCCCTGCTGCCGCCCGCTGTGAACGCCGGACTTCTGTGGGCCCTGGCCATCGGAGTCCACATACTGCCGCCCGACCATGAGCCCCTGGCCAGCCTGGCGAAGCACAGGCTGTACTCCTCGCAGCTCTCCGTTGAGCTGCTGGTTTGCGCCGCTGTCAGCATGGGCCTCACCCTGCTCAATATCATTTGCGTTTGGCTGATGGGCGTGGTGGTTCTGCGGATCAAGGAGGTTGCCCCAGCGGTTCAGCGGCATCAGAAGTTCTGGCGCCACGACGTGCGCACAGCACGCGAGGTGGCGCTCCTGGATCCAGCCCTGCAGACCGCCATAGATCGCCTGGACGAATCGCAGCTGGATGCGGACGCGCCGCACTACCAGCGCGCCTGGTCGACTGGCATAGATCGTCCGGCCGCCTCGCACACAGGAATCGGAAGCTACGACATTAACCTGTCCAGCAGCAAGGATCCGCCGAACAACTACCATACGGTACATGGCTTCCAGGAGTTCTGCATCACGCTGCATCGCCTGAAGTCTGCGCCCAAGGTCCTCCCGCCGCCGACTATAATGGAGCTGTTCACTCGCCCGGCGCCGAGCTCCGACCAGACCAACACGGCGGGCAGTGACTTCAGCAGCTGCCGCAGTCTGCCGGACATCGGCAGCCACTCCCGTCTCTGGCCACATGGACCGTCCAGTGCCATGAGCATCCAGTGCCTGTTCGCCGGGCCTGGACCAACGGCAACTGTCCCTACGGAGGCGAGTCCGAAGGGGGAGCGCGAAAGGCGGAGTGTCCACTGGCGGGGGGAGAAACTGAAGGTCCTGAACAGCAGGGCGAGCAGTCCGCTCAGGCGGACCGGGCAGGTTCTGATACCCCTGCCCAGGCTGGACTGCAATTTCCCGGCGGATCGCACCCTAAGCCTGTTGCCCTTCGGCTCGCCAAAGGTAGCGAGTCCCGACGAAGAGCAAGACGAGTTCCAGGCTTAGCACTCTGCCACTGTGCCAGCCCCAAGTCGCATCCTTAAACCTATTACCACCAGACGCCAGCCACCAGACGCCATCAAGAGTTCCGCAAGCATCCCAGATGAAGTCCCGAGCTTCGTGTCCAGCACTGATTACTCGCCGCTCCGGCGGCGGTGTCCTTGTTTGCCCACCACTTTAAGCCGCCAGCACTGGCGGTCGTGTAATTTAAAAAAATATGTGTTTGCTATGGCTGTGTAAAAATTGATGGAGATTAAATATATAAAGCCCCAACAGGAGGCTGAAGAACAGTTCGAGTTCCTTTGTATTTATGCATTACTTGCACCTATTTTAATGTACAATAATTTCGCGTGCATTTAGCTGCAAGATCAAACAAAGAATATTTTAGCCCGTAGGAGCTACGAAATGCACCCTTATGAACTTCGTTATATTCACTTGTCTCAAGCGAACTGCAAGGGGAAATTAATTGAATAAAAGCCATATGCTTTTATTTCTTTGCCTTCCGTCATTTGCTTTTTTTGCACTGCTGTTTCCGTCAAAAACCGGTTTCTTTTAAATCACAAGGTGGCGACACCGATGTGGCGACAGTGCCAACATTCCACACCACACTCTACTGTGGACACCTTGTCCTCGGCACAGCTGAATTCCACTCCACCCAGGTCCGGCATTTTCATAGCTCTTAACTTGGCCAAGTGAGGCTGCCGAATGAAGACTGCCTCGCTTAATTCACTTACCATTGAGCAGATTGTTGGCCATCGGGGCATTTGCTCCTTTTTCCTTTTTTCCTGGTCCACTGCCAAGTGAAGCCAAGCAAGTCAATGGATATCGAGCTAGCTTCTGCTTTTCTTTCTCCTTTACCCATACTCACTTAACAAGTATTTAAGCCGCCTCGTGGATTTAAAGAGCCCATTTTTGTAGCAAACAAAATCGTCTCCAAGAGTCTCCTATCACTTTACAAATTGTAAGATATTTTCTCGGGCAGGTGTTTTAAATTGAGGCATAACTGTTTATTAAATGTTATATATGTCAAAACTACTTTGTTTAAATTCGATTCTATCTTCTCTGTTCTGATTTGCATGGGAAGTACGTATCAAAACTCTCCACAGCATGGTTAACAGTTCCTTATGGATGGTTTGTTCCTTCCCCTATATCTGATCTGATTTTTTATAATTTTCCCCATTGGGAGGTACTTGTTAGTAGCTTGGACCAGCGACTTTCCTTGGCATCACCACGCGTGTTTCTTGCGTACTCGAGCATTTCCTACCACTGATTGTTTTATCGTTGGTTTCGTTTTGTGGGCCGTTCATGTGTTATTGTCCTGGCCGAGTGTCCTTTTCAGATGCGCCCATCCAGTCGGACGCCCATTAGATGGGAACAACAATTACGTGTTGCGCTTTTATGGCGGCCAGCTCGTTTGGTCCCACCCTCTTCTCTGTTATGCATCCTTTGGCGAGGATAGCAGGGAGCCGGGACAAGTGCGAAAAAAGGATACGAGCCACGTGTGATTGCCCTTTGATGTGCGCCTGCCGTTGTTGTATTTTCTCTAATGTTTATTTGCCATTTCTGTGCCTGTTGTGTGCCATTTCACCTATCCTTGATCCTTTTCCGTCGCTCCTCGACGTGGTCCACTCGTTTCCTGTCCGCCAGTTTGCCGATTGTCCTGTTTGGCCAGGGCAGGTGCGACATTTGGCATGTCCGCGCAATTAGCGCCCTTGTCCGGTCCGCTTTCCGAAGTCCATTTTCCATTTTCCATTTTCCACACCCACACCCACACCCGCACTCTATCGTCCTTGCAGCCCTCGATTAACTCGTTTTCACCAGCCAGCCGCTAACGAGGCCGCATTTGTCCGGCCATCGAAAAGCGGAGGAGGCAAAACACGCCGAAATGCACTTTAAAAAATTCCCCTTGCTTCTTCTCGTACGCAGGTGTCGGGCGTGGGTACTTACCCTAAATATCAAAAGGTCCTGATGACTTGTGTAAAAAGACATTGAAAAATAATAAAAATATTGAAAGTTGGTGCGCCTGACCCTCGATTGCCCAAAGGTTTTCTCAGTGAGTATTCTCGGCCATGAAGTGCCTGCTCAAGTACACATTCTCCGTGTGATTTTATGATGGATGTGAGCCCTACGGACCATCCGCCTTAATAGATGTGTGAAAGGGTTATGGGTCGATACAGGCCCTACATTTATATATTCCGGAGTTTGTAACGCTTAAAAGATAAAGGGCATGGATAAAACGCCTCAAGTAGGACTGATGTCCATCTGGGAAAGAAATGTTACACCTTTAAACAAGCATTATCCTATGGGATGATTAGGACCATCAGCACTTTTGATATCGCGCTCCACCAACTGTGATTTGATTATTTTACAATTTTACACACTTTTCTGTCTATAGCATAGCTATATTCCTAGCTGCTATCCGCGATTGCCCTGTTGTGCCCAACTCATTATTTAGCATAATTATTTATAGTCTCATCCAGCACTCCCGACGAGCTGGGTGCCTTTGTAGCCCCCGAACAAAAGGTGTGGAAGCCAAAAGACGGGCGGAAAAATAGGGGGAATCTCCTGCAGGGCGGAGGACGTGGAGCTGCGGGTGCAGCTGACGGTCCCACGGAGCTGGGCAAGCAAAACATTTAGTATCAAATGGGGCGGGAGCAGGGCGAGATTTGATCCTGTTGTGCACTGCACTGGCCCACAGGAATCAGAAGAGCGGCATGGTCTACACTGCACAAAACCTACAGAATGGGCTACTATCCAACTTCGAGCTAAGACCCAGGTACTTAGGGAATATAGTTGTACAAACTGCAGCTTCTGCTCGCTAAACACCAGCATATAGCACCATTGTATAGTCATGATGGGGCTGCGGATTTTTCTGAGTGTGCTTGTTCCGCCTGCCTTGGGGCAGTCTTAGTGCCTTAAATAGTTGCACCTTTGGCCACTCCAAGCCAGGAGAAGTCCAGTGCAGAGGGCCAGTGGGAAAGTGGGAAAGTGGGAAAGTGGGAAAGTGGAAAGTGGAAAGTGGAAAGAGGAAAGCGGAATGGACGTGAGTGGAGTGCAGTCAAGTCGAGTGGCTGCCAGTGGAGTGGACTGGATTGTTGCGCTGTTTTCTGCTTTTATTTTCAATTTTTTGTCGTATACTTCGGGCACTGCTGCCGGATTACCAAGCACATGCTTAGTGCCTATTATTTATGGACTCTTGCCACTGCAGCAGCTGCAGTGGCAGCCACAAGAAGCCATCGCCACGGCATGGTCAATTGATTTCCGGGTTCTTCGTCCAGCTTTCATTGTCCGTCGTCCTTTGTACGGCTAAATACGAATCCCCTGCCGTGGCCACAGCAACGTGACATCAACATTACATCGTCCTTGGTGCGGCAATCAGGTGAGGAGGGGCATTTCGTCCTGACAAAGTAATGTTATAAGTAAGCGCCTAATTTATGCTAAACTGCCTTTGTTTAGTCGGTCCTTTCTCGATCCTCGATCAGCTTCTAAGGCACAGGGATACCGAGTCTTATCGAAAAAATTTCAAAGTCCCAGAAGTGGCATGGTGCAGCTGAAAAGTGTTAATTACGACTGCAAAGGACTCGCAGTTCTCTTCTCCTCCACTTTCCTTTTTCATATATCCTAAACTCCTTGACTCGGCTTTCGGTCGAATCTCTTTTTGTGAACTTGCAACTCGGGGCCAACTTTGCTTTGGCAACAAATTGCACGGGCTTTGTCTTTGGGATGCGTTTTAATCTGGCCATTGTTCCTCGTCCCCAAGCCCCGCTGCTGCCCTTTTGGCGCTTTCCTTTTCCTGCCACTCCGCCTTGTAAATTATGTGTTTTAATATTTTACAAAGACTCAAAAACTGAGCACTTTGTTTATAATCTTATGCCGTTTTTGCAGCTCCCTCGCCTCATCTTCCCTGGCTTTTATAAGCCCCGAATGCTTACAGCGCGCTTCAAGTGGGCGTGGCGTGGGCATGGCGTGGGCGGCGGGGTCGTAAATAAAAATAACTGCTACGGACAAAGATCCGACAGGCAACGAGCAGAAATGATAGAAAAATCTTGCGGATGTAGCTCTTAATTTTCGCAAGAGGAAACGAATTTCAGCAGTTCTCGTTTACTGTATTTGCGTTCTCCCTGCTGCTTAACCCTTTGATGGCCCTACGGCGTGCTAATTGCCGGATTCCGACTTGATTAGGCAGATCTTGAGCTGAAATGGGAATCGGACTACCGAAAATAGGTCGGTATGGCGAAACTAAATCAGAATTTAATGATTTATTCAGAGCCAGCCCCAACTTGCTTAAATGAAAAGCATATGCACAAATTTTGTAGGCAGTAAGCCTTGTCGGCTACAACTTCAAGGAGTTGGATATTCGAAGGATATTTTGCAGCGCAAATAGTTTGATTTCAAACTCGACCAAGAAACGATTTATTTTTGTGTGCGCCCAGAAAATGAATTCGACAATTACTCGTCTGTCTGGAAGTCGGCGGAAACATGTGACTGCTTTCCCCCAATTTCCCCCTTTTTCCCCAGGAGGATCCTTCAACGGCCAGAACCGACGACCTGGCACAAGCTAGGCACTTGCGAGTAGAGGCGACTTAATCATCTGCGACAATTACAAGCAGGCAACAAATCTAAGCTGGAATGTCCTGTGCACATGGCGTGTGTGTGTGTGTGTGTGTGTGGGCTGTCAGCACATTTGTCTACATGGCGTATGAATAATTGCAAATGCCAACAATGGGCGGCATTTGTCGTTGTGGCTGTCCGTGTTTTGTCCTCCAGCTCCAGCTCTGTACATGCCCCATTTGATATATAACGCACAGACATGTATACCTGGCTCTGTGATCACTGGGATAAATAATTCTGAATGTTAATTGAGTGCAAGGGTTTGCTGTGTGAAAATTAATTAACTAAATTATTAAGTGGCTGGCGAAGGCAAGAGCCCGGCCGACCAGAATGAATATTGTAAGTTATGCTTTTATTATTGCCGCAAGTTGTCCAGTTGCTCAGTGGTTCAGTTGTTCAGTTGTTCAGCACGATAATGACGATGTCCTGGCCATGTGCCGGCTTTTGGCATTAATTGCGGCCTAGTGACCAAAAATTACCTGACCCAAAGACGCCATTACTGGTCAAGACATTAAGCAGTATTTATGACAGACTCGCCCACAAATTGCAACGCCAAATGCTTATTTAATGAGTTAATTATTTTTTGTATTTATTGCAGTGCCGAAATATGCGAATGAGCAAACGTGAAAATATGCGCAATTA